TTCACTGATTCCAGGGCTTCTCTCCAGTGGCCATGATGGCATGTGAGGATTGCTTGCTTTTGCTCGCCGGATCTTTGTCTTGCGAAGTGCTTGCTACGTCCATGACGTGCTTCTTAGCGTAGAAGGTTCTTTCTTCCTCTATTCGTATGAAGGTCTGGGCACGATGGAGTGCGTCCTCTATGGTGTCTTTTGGATTTTTCAGCAAGTCTTCTTTGAAAGAGGATTCGAACCGTAGACCATTCATGAATGCCTCGATGGCTAAAGCTTGCGGGATCTGGCCGTACGCGGCGGCGGCATCCTTGAATTTTTCAATGAAATCCCAGAGGGGTTGGTCGCGCTCTTATATCAGGGTGAAGTGGTTGACCGTCCTCTTCGTGATGAACATCGAATACTGCTATATGAAGGCGTGGGATAACTCCTTGAAGGATTTGATCGAGGCCGCCAGGAGATTGGAGAACAACTTGAGAGTGTCCTTGTTGAGGTGCTCCACGAAGGTCTGACAGTGATTAGCTTCCCGTTCGAGGTCAGTTTCGAATCGTTGTCGCTTCATAGCGACATTGAACCCAGTCATCCATAAATTTGGGTCTTTCGTCCCGTTGTAGTATGGGAGATTTAGTTTGATTGCCGCACCGAGGTGAACGTCGGTGATCCGCAAGGCAAATGGGTTGCGTTCGGTATCTGACAGAATTGCCGAGATCTCGGGGCTGAACTGGTGGCGCGATGGACTTGAGATCTGATCGCGTTGATTCGCTGATGCAGCTTTGCGATCTCGGAATTCAGTTCTTCGGTTGGTTCGTCATTGGCTGGTGCTACGCCTCGAGTGTTGCCGTGCTCTGGCGTTTCGAAGACTAACCGTCGTTCTAGTGGTGCTGATCTTGCAGTAGTCGCGGCGGCCAGAGTGCTGAGCTGCTCGTCGTACTTAGTCTGCTGGGCCTGAAGGGTGTCTAGCTTGGACACCAGGTTCTGCGTTAATGGTAGCAAGGCGGCCTGGATTGCTGCGGCGAGATTGGCGGCAGCGAGGATAGGGGTTGGAGGTGCTCCCGCGGGTGGGATCGCTATGATAGGGTTGCCGTGCTCATCGAGAGCAGGCATATCAACACGCGTGGTTGTATCCTCCGTGTTAGAAGTGAGGTTGATGTTGTCGGTCGGAAAGCTCATCGCTTCGGATCTTCTTGCTAGTTTTTAGAATTTATTCTCCTAGTCCCCACATACGGCGCCAACTGTTGAACCAGAAAATCACCACTAGGGTTTTGATTAACGGTTGTGAGTTTCGAAGAATAAGATCTTTATTAATAGCTTAAAAGATGAAGTGATTACAAAGGTTGGTATAACCGAGGGGTTATGCCGAAGTGAAAGTGTTTGCGAAGTAAACTAGAAAGCGTTAGAGTTCCTGATTTTAGCTCTGCTGTTCCCTAGATTGTATGAGTTGTCCTTCTTGAGCTCCGAAGTCTTCTTATTTATAGAAATAGGAGGTTGGTCGCTCCGAGCTCCTTTTCTTTTTTTCCTTTGGTGATTATTTCCATATTTGCAATATGGAAATATACTTTATTCTCCGAAAAATATGGAAATTCTCTTTTATCATTTGAGTTGATCTGATGCTTCCGGACTTCAAACATTATCTTTAAGAGTTTTCTTTTTTCAAAGCTGGATCGGCGCAGTCTTCCTGATTTTGATGAACTTAGATTATTGCTAGAAAAAACCTTTTAGAAAATGTGCTCATTTTCTGTTTAACAGAGTTTAAAGAGTTACAACGGCGAGTGATGAGGTCGTATTGATACTCAAAGTGTGACGGTGAGTGATCGGAAATAAGTGTGATGGCGAAAGATCGAAGATGAAGTCGACGAGATACGACGGCCTAATTCAAAATTGATCAATGCCTTTTTCAAACTAAAGAGGTGTTTAGTTGATTAAGGTTAATATAATTATTAGTTTAATGAAAAAAATGATAAAAATGTGGTAATTGTGGCATAAAAACTATTTTTTATATTATTTTGAAGACTTTTTTTCGGACATGTTTTAATCGGTAAAGCATTATGATCTAAAATCTAACCAGACGAGGTGCCAAAAATATAGACTGGAAAAAGTTGCATAATTGTTAAATAGACAAATTTCGTCGCTGTTCTTATTTATATTTTCTATAGCAATGGCTTTTGGAGACAATCTAAGGCCACTTGTAGAATGCCTACAAATTAAAGGGAAGACATCGATGGTTGTGTTTTATTCACATAACAGAGAATCTTATAGATCTAATCAATATGCGACTTGAAAAGTTTCTATACTTATTAGAAGGCATCTCTATTTTTTTTTCTTTTCTTTTTTAGATTAGGAAGAACAAACTAATATGACCCTTTTAGATTCTGACTCGTGACATGAGTTATCATTGATTAAGTTTGAATTAAGAGCATAACTCAAAAATATTATCAATCAAATGTTAAATTAGATTTTTTTTTATTTTTAAGTTTCAGTTATAATGAGTTATGTCTGATGTAAAATTTTGAATTATTTCTTTCTTAAATTGCTAACTCAAAAGTTAATGTTAAATCAAAGAAAAAGTAATAATTTTTTTAGTTTTTAATTTCTGCTAGTTTTATTTTTAGCAAATTAATTTAAATATATATGTGTTTTTATTTTATTTTCAATAAAACTTACTTAATCAATTAAAATAAGGGCAATATAGTTGATTGAAGTATGTTAAAATTGAACACTGTTAAAAATAAAATTGAACACTACTAACCTTTTTCTCAATCGTTGATTCACTTACGTGTGAAAAATGTATTGCGCGAGTTTTTTTAAATTTTTTATATTAGAACATTTTTATTAAAACTATCTAAAAGGATATCTCAATACAATAAATTAAGAAAATAATAGAAAAAATGAGGGAAAATAAAATGGACAAAAGTTTGAGATACTTTCAATAATATTTGCTTTCTTGTAATTATTTTTATTTTTTTAATTTTAAAAATTATATTATATTAAAAATATTAGTAACAAAAATTGTAAAGATACTGAAATGAATATCTAACTAATGGAGGTGTTCTTAAGTTATTATCCAATGATATTCTGATGTAAGTAAAAATAAATGTTGATATGAAAAGAACTAAAACCACACCTCTCTCTCAGCCGTTGGACCCATTTGAAGAAAAATACAATCAGATCATAGCTTTAGCGGCAGCTTTGATGGGCAGCCTGGACAATGGCCGTACCAGAGAGAGAGAGTTTCAAAATTCAAGGTTTCTGTCTTTTTCGAATGTGATAAGCAAATGGTGATAACCCCTCCCGCAAATCAGAACAATGACTCAAAGCTTCACTATTATTGATGATAGGTAGAGAGACGTCTTTATCAATCTAAGATAGTTAATTAATCTTTTGCAAATTAGTGACTCTAATATAAATAGTTATCGACTTCTCCTCTATCACGCGAATGAAAATAGTTAGTCACTATTTTGCAAATTTGTGTAGTGCAACTTCCTTATAATTTAAAAGTATAAAATTTCTACAATTAAATAACTTGATTTCTTGATGAGAAAACATTGACCCGATGAAATATATACACAATTTTCAAAATTACTAATAAATCTATAAATACGCAAAAGAAACAATTTGATTTTAATTTCAAATCTATTCTAAAACCATAACTTTGACTTTTTTTGTTCTAATCTTATCTTTTAAGTAAAACAACATTTTTTAAAACAAAAAAAGAAGTAAAACAACATTATTATTATTAATAAGCATAATTTGTTAAATTTCACGTTAACATTAAATTTTAACACAAAAATTTTGATTTGTTATATATTGATCAGTTTTTTTTGGGTAAATTATATATTGATCAGTTCATGGATTTAGGAACAAGGATTAGGTTGTTTTCTTTGATCAATTTTGGTTTGAGCTGTAGAACTTTGTCATATGACGACAAACTCTTGCTCATATCATGCCATAGCTAGGTGGTGTCTGAAACTAGACGTTATTATTGATCACTTAACAATTAGCCGAGATTTGAGATCTTCTAAAAAAAATATGGTCTGCACTTTAAAACCGACAAACAAAACATTAATTTTACGTTGAAAATCTAGCAAACAAAGAAATATCTTTGGCGATGTTGACCTTATGAGAAAAATAATAATACCAGAGAGAAACAATAGAAAGAACGTGTATAGATATTTTATAAAAAAGAGAGACATTAATTTAATATTGTATCTGAAAGCAACTCTTTTTATAAATTTGATAAGCTAGAAATTTAGGTAAACGCAGATTTGTTACTTAGTATTATAAGGGTTATGAATCTTGCAACAATGATATAAACGCATGAAAATTGCAGCATTAAAGGTATTAGCAACAAATTTGTCTTCACGGGTTTGGTAGTTGGATCAACTTATGGTATATCAATGTAGTTTCTCAAGCAGAGTTCTGTATTTCATTACCTAAATCCCCACGACTTGTACGATTATCTTCATATTATTTTATTAAAATCTTATTGGTTTACCGTGGGGTTGTTTAAGCTGTAAATGAATTAACCTCAAATAGTAAAACTCTTTCCATTTGGACCTTTTTAAACATGACGGCTACAAGACAAAAGTGGGCCACATTATTTTTGTTTATTAATATAATATGAATATGGTATACTACAGTATATATATATAGCACGTTTTCTATAAATTTCCAAATGAATGGTGGAGTCCACCGTCACCGTAAATATGGTAGCATAGTAATTTTACTGTATAACTAAAATAGTTCCGTAATTCCGTTCATTTGTATAAAACTCATTGATAACACGAGAAATCAAAGCAAAATTGGGGATAGTTTTAAATAATCAAGAATAAGTCAACATATTCACGAAAGAAAGTAGACAACATATTCACGAAAGAAAGTGTCTCTCTTATCTTAAGAATTAAGATTATTAGTCAATGTATATAATCCTTCACTTAAATTACGTTTAAATGAAATTATTTGTATATTCCAGATAATATATCCATACTCAAGTTGGCCACAACATGAGCAAACACCGTCACTTTTAAAATTCCGCGCGTGATACATCCACGGTTTGTACACCATCTTTAACCGTACATATCTCGCTGTCGTACGCTTACTTTTTGCCATTCCCACATGCGAATTTAAAACTAAACAAAACCCAATTAGTTAAGTAATAAAACAACCTTTCCTCTTCTATAAAACCGCCTTTACATTGAACCTTCACGAGACACACACTCTTCTTCTTCCTCTTCACCTAACAACAACAATGGGTATCCAAAGATCTTCCACTACTTCTTCAGCTTTGAAATGGCTTGGATTTGTGACGGCGGTTTGGGTTCAATCCATCTCCGGCAACAACTACACATTCTCCAATTACTCTGGTGCTCTCAAGTCCCTCATGAACCTCAATCAGCTCCAGCTCAACAACCTCTCCGTCGCTAAAGACGTCGGAAAAGCCTTCGGAATCCTTGCTGGCCTCGCCTCTGACCGTCTTTCGACTCCCGTCATCCTCCTTATAGGTTGTTTCGAAGGTCTTCTTGGCTACGGTGTACAATGGCTCGTCGTGAGCCGCACCATCACTCCTCTCCCTTATTGGCAGGTGCTAACAATAAAGCTTCTCTCTCACTTTATGACACATGCAAATTCTTGAATTTCTCTTAGTTTCAGTTTTAGCATTTAATATTTTTAAAAAAATCTAAAAATTAAAGCACTTGTTGTACCAAACGATTTTTTTGGTTTGAATAATTTTACTTTCAATTCGGAAAAAAATATTCTTGAATTCTTGATTTTGAGATATTTGAATTTTGAATTTTTCAGATGTGTGTATTCCTCTGTATGGGAGGGAATAGCACGACGTGGATGAACACGGCGGTTCTAGTGACTTGCATACGAAATTTCCGGCGAAACCGTGGTCCGGTCTCCGGGATCTTGAAAGGATACGTGGGCCTAAGCACAGCTATCTTCACCGATCTATGCACTGCTCTGTTCTCAAACGACCCGGCATCGTTTCTTGTTTTACTCGCCGTCGTGCCTTTCGCCGTGTGTCTCACGGCGGTTTTCTTCCTCCGCGAAATCCCTTCTGCTTCTTCCGCCGACGAAGAGAGCGAAGAGACTCGCTACTTCACAGTATTTAACATCGTGGCAGTCGTCGTCGCTGTCTACCTTCAGTCTTACGACATCATCGGAATCAAAACCGGAGTTTTCTCAGTCGCTTTTGCCTCCATACTCCTCTTCCTCTTGGCTTCTCCTATCGCCATACCTTTCCACTCTTTCATCAAAAGCTTGAATCGCGGTGAGCAAGACGTGGAAGGACAGATCCAAGAACCGTTGCTTAGATCCGAGACCGCCGCGGAGAAGGAGGCAATTTCTGTAGCGGCGGCGGCTACTGCGGCGGAAGAGGAGAATCATGTGGTGGAGAGGAAGAGGCCGGTGTTGGGAGAAGATCACACGATAATGGAAGCGATGTTGACCGTTGACTTTTGGGTGCTTTTCATATCGTTCTTGTGTGGTGTGGGAACTGGTTTGGCCGTGATGAACAACATGGGACAGATCGGGCTTGCTCTTGGCTACACAGATGTTTCGATATTCGTCTCTATGACTAGTATTTGGGGTTTCTTCGGCCGTATTCTCTCCGGTACTCTCTCCGAATACTTTCTCAAGTAAGTTTCCTCCTACTTCACTTTTTATTTTAACTACCAAATGGACAAAAATTAATATCCACATGTGACAGTAAACAACGACAAGAAAGACATTGTTTTGGCTGTTATGGTTCATTTTAAGAAATGAAACTGTAAAAACAAACAAAAATGATTTTTTATATAGAAAAAAATAATCCAGGCATCCTGATTTTGACTTGATCGGTAGAAATTGGTCACCGACAGAATCAACGATGTTTTGGGTCCAGACGTCCGAATAAACTACTAATTCCCTCAAACTATTTACCTTTTTCGTTCAATAGCCTTTTCTAACTTTCTAAAAATATTTTCCATCAATTTTATAAATACTGTAGTGTAATTTAATGTTTCCTGCATATGCTCTCTTGTTTCTCTTACTTATGAAGTACAATACTAAATAATTAATCTGTTTAATTGATATATTAAATCAATAAACTTTTTTTTGATAAAAAAAGTTAAAACTATATTAATTAAACTTTTTCAATACAATAATAGAAAAAATAAGTTTCCGAGTATTAATTGATTATTTGATTAGGTTTAGACCCTCTTCCGATTAGCAACTACCACATTTATGAACATTTGACAATTGTATTCGCAACGTACGATTCTATGTGGTGTGTTTGGTATGTTTCGTATGAGGCTAGTAGCTACATTTTAGCTTTAACGCTCGTTCTACTTCTAACACTGATCACAAAAGCTATAACGTGACGTATATCATTTTTCATCCACACACATGGACAAACAAAATTCAATGCGTTTTGGGTTTGGTCTGCAATTTTCTCCCCTCAATGACTTTTTTCACATAAAGAAAAGGCATCTTTTAGATCTTTCTTTTTGTAACATTTAACTAGTTTTTGTTCTTGTCCATAAATCCAATTTCTTGCTCTTTTCCTTTATTTGGACCACACTCCTTAAATTCCTCATCACGTGAATCTCCCCATCTGAATTCTTTTTCAGACTTTAACATTTGATAGATTTGTTGTTTTTTTGCTAAAAGGTTTCATTTTACAGATTTTTAATTCAGTTCGAAGGTTATGTTACTTCAAAGTAATAGATCACTATCAATAGGCATGTTGATTTAAAATTTTACTAACCAAGAGAAATGTAATTTTTTTCTCTTAATTCTATAGGAAAGCTGGAACACCACGACCACTATGGAACGCAGCATCTCAAATCCTCATGGCCGTAGGTTATCTACTAATGGCTTTAGCTGTACCCAATTCACTCTACATCGGTTCAATGGTGGTCGGAGTTTGTTACGGTGTTCGTCTAGCCATAACCGTACCAACAGCATCAGAACTCTTTGGTCTCAAATACTATGGTCTCATCTACAACATCTTAGTACTTAACTTGCCACTTGGCTCGTTCCTCTTCTCGGGTCTCCTCGCTGGCTTCCTCTACGATGCAGAAGCTACACCAACTCCTGGTGGAGGCAACACTTGTGTAGGAGCTCATTGTTACCGTCTTATCTTCTTGGTCATGGCTTTAGCTTCTCTTATTGGAGTTGGTTTGGATATTTTGTTGGCTTATAGGACTAAGGAGATTTATGCTAAGATTCATGCTAGCAAAAAGGCCAAGAAATCGGGTGGTACCCTAAGTTAAGAATTGTAAGATCTAGTTCTATAGCACTAGATTGTTCGTCACGATTTTTTAGTTGAGATGCTTAATTTTTTAATACATTATGCAAGTACCAGGACTTTATTGTTGTAGAGTCACCGCAGACCAGTGTAAACTTTGTTCATAAATTTATTTTATAATTGAATGAGATTTTGGTACTACTAATTCTAGTTCTTTTCTATTTTATTTTACACCAAAAAAAGAGCGGCTTATATAGTCTCAAAGACGTTAGAAATGAAACAATAACAAGCTCTCAAAACCAAAAACGATATGGCTTAACACAGACAGTTAACAAGATTAACAATGATAGATACATATATTGATATGAAAGACTTAAATGAAGACTTTTTGATATGAAAATTGATTTATACAAATACTGTAATGACAGTGGTTTATATGTAATATGTGAAATAGAATCCGAGGACTTGTTAAAACAAACAAGAATAGCTTTTCAACATTTCAGAATTCAAGTTCCTTTATCTCATCATTTCGCCAATGCTTATCGTAAAAAGCAAACGAGTAGTGACATGGATCTTCGCATATCCAGCAACCGACTTTCGAACACATGATAAATGTGTCAATCTTCTGAGTGAAAGCATCTACAAGACTGTCCTCAAGTACCATGCCCAACATTGGATCGGTAAATCTTCCTTTGAATTTGCAATGTGAGAGATTAAGGAACGCTAGGTTTTGGAGGCTTATGATGCGGGCGGACTGAAACTTCTTTAATATTTTCGATAATACAACATCGCATACTCAGCCTCTTGATCGTAGGGAGGTAACGCACGAGTCCTATAGCTAAAGATTCGTCTACGTAACCCAAAAGTTTCAGGTTTGTGAGATTGATGCAGTTTTCTGAAACGAGTTTAAACTTGATTCTCTCGTTCACGTAAAAGGCTGGAGAGATGATTAATGTGTGAAGGTTCTTCCATTGACTTAATCTATGCATCGTCTCTTACATTTCCCCATCGCGGCAAGGCAATTTTTTTGATATTTGGTATCCTGTAAAAAAAAAACAGGAATGATGAGATTTACCTTTTGGGTTTCAAGAAGTATATTAGGCAAATTTGTTTTTGGTTTTTGGTTTCTTGGGTCTCAAGAAGTATATGAGATTTTGCTTTTTGGTTTCTTGGGTTTCAAGGAGTATATTCCGCAAAAAAAAAAATTTGGTTTTTGGTTTCTTGGGTTTCAAGAAGTATATATGAGATGTTGGTTTTTGGTTTTTTGGGTTTCAAGAAGCGGCAAATTCGATTATGGTTTCTTGGTTTTCAAGGAGTATATGAGATTTACCTCTCAGCAGCGATGATGAGATCCTTATCTTCCACGCAAGAATAGATGTTGAAGAACAAACCGGTTGGTACGGTACTGCAAAATTTGGCGATTTCAATCAAAACCCGCGAGTGTTTCAGTCGAGGATGGTTAAGGTCGACATGTTGGAGATAGGCAAGTTCGATGGTTTTCAATAGAGATTTTTGGTGAGAGACAAGGAACCAAGAGATGCAGACGCGTGATACTCCCATGGTAACATCTATTACGTTGAGCTTCTCGAAAATCTTTGCCAAAATATCTCTATCCATATTTTCCCATCTAGGGACTTTTCTTAATCTCACGGCCATCACAGTACAGCTACAAAATAAAATAAAAACTTTTAGAGAGAATGTGAGATTTATAGATTCTTGAATTTTTAGAAGAACAATATTGAGGGAAGAAGAACAACATTGAACAAAGGAGAGATTTCATGGAGATTCTCCATCTTTGGACTCTTCTTGCACCATCTAATCTCTCCATCTGATCAAATGCAAGAAGAAAAAAGTTTATCAGAGATTTCTAAGGATTAGAGAGAAAAAAAAAAGAATAAAACAATGATTTTATATGAGAACCTACTGCATGGACAAAACTTCTACACAAAACAATAAAGTTGCTTGAATATGTGTACCTAAGGTTCCAATAAGTCGCCAAACATATCTTGTGCATGCCCATCAATCTATAATTGCACAAACCTAATCTTTTGTCGTCCTTTAACAAAGCGAGAAAGAAAAGAAATACAGTTTCTTCATAATGAATATGAATTAATGAAGTGGAACTTGGTACTAAACAGTTAGTCACTCTGTGTCTCTATTTCAGAATAAACTATTGAGAAATTATATGGTTTGACGTTGCCTCAGTGAATGCTAATTTTACATCTAAACAAAATTTTATACAATAGACTAGAATGGGTTTTCACTCGTTATGTAAACTAGGTAAAAACCTGTATTATGCTGCAAAATATCGTATCTTAATCTCACGGCCATCACATTACAGCTACAAAATAAAATAAAAACATTTAGATAGAATGTGAGATTTGTAGATTCTTGAATTCTTAGAATAACATTTTTACTTTTAAGGGAAGAAGAACAACATTGAACAAAGGAGATATCTCATGGAGATTCTCCATCTTTGGACTCTTCTTGCACCACCTAATCTCTCCATCTGATCAATGCAGATGCAAAAAGAAAAAGGTTTATTAAATTTCTAAGGATTAGAGAAAAAAAGAAGAAAACAATGATTTTATATGAGAACTTGCATGGACAGAACTTCTACATAAAACAATAAAGTTGCTTCAATATGTGTACCTAGGGTTCCAATAAGTCGCCAAACATATCTTGTGCATGCCCATCAATCTATAATTACACAAACCTAATCTTTTCCGTCCTTTAACAAACCGAAAAAGAGTTTGACTAAAAGAAATAAAGTTTCTTCATAATGAATATGAATAATGAAGTGCAACTTGTACTAAACAGTTAGTCACTCTGTGTCTATTTCAGGATAAACTATTGAGAAATTATATGGTTTGATATTGCCTCAATGAATGCTAATTCTACATCCAAAAAAGAAAATTTATACAACATATTAGAATGGATTTTCACTCGTTATGTAAACTAGGTAAAAACATGCGCTATGCTGTAGAGTATCGTATCATAAAAAAATTTATACATAAATTTATATTATTTTAATTTAAAAAGTTTACTAATTGTTTACTAGATATAAATGATATTGTCGATTATGATCATGAATTATAGCCCTGAAATTTTTGGGATAGGGTTCTGATTCCCTCTCGTACCCATTTTAAATTTCTCATCCCGTTTCATTTCAAGTTAAAAAAAAAATCTCACTCAAAATCATTTATTTTATTCAAACGGTTATAGAAAAAGTAAGAGAAGGAAACGGAAATGAGATTGGGTATCCAAATTTTTGTTTAAGAAATTAAATTTGTTAAATTTATATATTTTTCTAACTTTTCTGAAATTTCTTGAATTGTTTCAATTTTTTTTTACTTTTCCCAATTTTTTCCAAATTTATCCAAAATATATCAAATACATAAATTGAGAGTTTGGATTCTCGAATTTGTATCATTATCCAACTTTCTCATTCCATTACCCAAAATTTCTGTTTTATTTTCATCGAATTCTTTTTTGGAAATTGTTCTTGAATTCCCAATTTTTTTTGTTCTTGTCCCGTACCCACAAATTTTCCTTCCGAATCTCAAAATTTTCAGGGCTAATGAACTATATGAAATTTGTAAAATATGAATCAAACACGTGTTAGTATTTCTTTGACATCAAATTTTCTTTAGCCGTTACTGATTTGTTTACCTTTATGTGATTTTTTTACCACTTGATGAATTTTTTACATTTTTCATGCTTTGTTATTAATGTGTTTGGAACTCAAAATTAGTTTTTTCTTCTTAATCATCTATTTTTTTATCTCAAAAAATAAACATGTATTTTTTTATGACAATCAAATTGGAACTTCATTATCTCTTTTTTAAGCTAATGTGTGAAACCAATTGAAACGTCTACCAACAAAGCTTTACAAAAGAAACATATTATCACAAGCAACATTTAAATTTAACATTGAAAATAATGGTAGAAAAGAGTTAAAGAACTATAAGCATTTACCACTGATGAGATGCTACATTTGTACATGAAAAACAAAATAAATGAAATCCATCATCCATCTAACTCAGAGGGCTAACTAAGCTGATTATATATAAGAAGATTCATATCTTCAATAATTAGAGATCCCACCAAAAAATTAAGCATACTTGGCTTCTTAAAACTGTAATTTAATCTAAAGGTATATCATATTTATTTGAAAAAATTAAAAACTTCTCAAAGGACTAAAACCATATTCTCAATTTTCACGTAATTCTTCTAAAACAAATTCTTCTAATATATGTTTAATTTTAATATTTTTCAACATTTCCATCAACATATTGATTACCCACGTCCATTTTATCAAGATCAGCCATGATAATTATTAATTTGTTTTGTGTTGTATAAAAATATAAATTGTTATATTGTTATTCGATATTACCTTCAACTTTTATTAAAAATCATCTAAAACTTGTGATATTTCTTAAGAGTTTGTTTTTTTGTCAGTTAAGTATTTTTGTATGTTGTTTTAAAAAAATTATACTAAATATGTATCAAGTTAATTTCATTTTAAATTATTTTTTGATATGTTATTTTAGCTCTTTTGATATTGATTTTTATTTTATTTTGATATATACAATTCTTTCAAGACATTGACATTCTATAATACACAATCTCCTTTATATCTTTTGCTAGTTAATCCTTTTTAATGTTGATGATTTTCTAAAGAGTTATTATAGACATCATGTTAATTTTCTTATTAGATGACATTTTTGTTGTTGTTAGTTTGACTTTTTGATATAGATTTCAGTTTTAATTCTATTCACATTTAACACATAATTTCTATTATTTTTGCTAGGTAAACCTTTTTAATATTTATTTTCTAAATAACTAGTCTAGATATCAAATTAATTTCCTTGTTAATTTAATTATTTTGATATTGATTTACAGTTTAATTAAAATGCTGATTTTTTCTTAAATAGTCATCATCAATGTCATACAGAGTAAGGGATATATAGCCAGGCTTTACAGAGGTGTGTGCAAGAAACAGAGGTAAACTTCTTTTACTTGTGTTATTTATGGCAATGTTCATGAAAATCAAGCATATAGCAAAGTCCCAAAATTACAGTTAAGATACCTCTAGCAATGCTGAGTCATTTATGTACTCTTTGGATTTGAGAGAATATCATTTTACAATTTCATGCAAAAACCTAAGAGGCTTTAAAGAAAACACAAGCCAAGGTGATTATGCAACTAAAAAAAGGTTAATTGAAAACTGATGCTTATAATAAAAGATGAAAAATGCGGTATTCCTACATTAAAGTAGCTTTTAAATGGTGGAAAAAAAGTAGCTTTTAAATAAAAACCTAAACGAATCAAAACAATAAAAACCTAAGATTACTAAACCTCTTGTATGAATGCAAACGAAAAATCTAATACCACTAAAGATCAATGAGGAACCACCGAACCGTGTAGCTTTATGCAACTTTCATCTCGACAGTAAACCCATCGACGATCTTCGAGTTTTGATAATGTGTAATCGTGGCTGTAGGATCCATCGATTGGTAGCCAGTGAATCCAAACATGGTTTGACTGCATCAATAATGTTTGTATCGTGACAGACATACATGCCAATGGCAGTCAGATAGCCGCCATAACTGGAGTCGGAGAAAGACTTTAATAAACCACCAAACTCACGACGATCATGTTATTCCATATCAATCTACCGGGTTTTAAGATATCCATCTCTTACAAAACGGTTTATGTTTCCTTTTGTTAATCTCAATTATCAAACACTTGAAATCATCTCTTACAAAACGGTCTATGTTTCCTCTTGTTAGGCTATGTGCAGTGGGGATGTTGAAATTATTTTTCAACAGTTGAATATAGTTTAATGAGATAGTTGAAAGAGGGTGTTGAATAATGTGGCAAAATCAGTGTTGTAAAATTACAACATGTTAGAATTGTGAAAATATGGGGTCATTAATGTCACGTGGCGAGTATATAGAGTGGCTAGCTCTAAAATCTGTGTTGCACGCACCCATAAATTTATACATGTACATAAATTATCTAGATTGCGACACATGTAAGCTTTTGAATAGTTATGAATATTTTGCATATTTTTTTATCTCACCATAATTTTTTTTTTGTCAAGCAAACTCCATATATTAAATCAAATTATACCGGTTTGATGGTAAGATCTATCCAGTTCATTATGATTTACATGAGATAAAAGTAGATTGTGCATTCGTGCACTTTTCGCAAGTTGATCGGCACGAATATTTTGCAAACGAGGAATAAACCGTAAACTAAAAAACACAAAGTCCGACCGCAAAGTATCAAGTAAACTAGCTCCGATGTAAAAGCAGGCGCCAATCGATTGGTTCTTCAACCATCTTAATCAAGTCTGAGCAGTCCGTCTTGAATCTGACCAAGACACACCCCCTCACCCGCAGGCATGACATTGCCTAGAGGAGGCCTTCCATCTCTATATGTAAAGGCGATAGGCATCTCCGACACCCCTTCGAGCCATACCAGCTACTCCCCGATACATCCTCAAAGAACCACCCTAAACCGCTAGTCAGTCTGATATCCTCAAACAATGTACACAATGTCAGCAACGACCTCCCCCAGACTTAAACAACACTGTCCCCAGTGTTATCAAGCAAGGAGTTGGTAAAAAGAGGCAATGAAACGGTTTGTACAGAGATGAGAAAGTGGTACATGTGACTGTGTGGTGTCGATCGACACCACATGGTTGGTGTCGATCGACACCCTGTCCGAAAACAGAATGGGATGACCCAAACATGTGTATTTGTTGCAAGTTAGATTGTTAGTTGATGTTCTCCCAAGTCAAGATTGTTAAGAACACTCAAGCAAACAATTAGAAGCAACAACATAATCCATAA